CACACACGTCTTCATCACTATGCACAGCTGAGCTACTCTGTCGGCACGGGCGCAGCCACCAGGATTGCAAATGCACTTGGAGCCGGGCAGGTGCGGGGGTGGAAGCGCATGGCCGCGATAAGCGGGTGATCGTGATGCACGCCAGGTTGGCTCACAACGCACAATCCACACAGACGGTGCATGCGGCGTGGGCGGACAGAGCTGGCGCATGAGCACCGGAAGTGCGTGAGCCCACCCCGTGTCCCAACACGCGCCCCGGGTCAAACCCTGCCCTCTTGCATGCAGCCACTTAACGCGCGCCGCATCTTCAGGTGGGTGCGGCGCAGCAGCGCAGCTGCGCGGCTCACGAATTCAGCCTTGATTGTTTTTCGCGCTGGAGGGGTTTAGTCATGTCCCCGGGGCCTGGCTTTCCCGCGCACCTGCACGGGCACAAGCGCCTGCGGCGCCGGCCGTCGTAGCCCTCCGTATCCAGGCCTCTCTGTATCCAGACAACCACAATCCCCACCAACCTTCACCTGCAGGCTGGCGTGCTGTCTGCTGCTCTGCACCAACACGCTTGTGGCGTCCGTGCTGTGGGCGGAGCGGCGCCGCCTGACCGCGCTGCTGACCCCAGACGCGGCGGTGGCGGCCCAGATGCAGCGCATCCTGCCCGCCGCCATCCTGGGGATCATTGGTGCGCTGGCACCCACAAGTTGCAATTGAATTGCGGGCCAGCCTTTTCAGAGGGGGCTGGCCCCTCCCCAGCATCCCGAGTTGAGCGTGCGGCACTTACCTGTGACCAGCTAGCCTGGTGACATCCCTGTCCTGTCCTCCCGCCTCCCCCCCCCCCTTGCGCCCCTCCCTTCGCCGCAGGTGACGGCCAGGTCGCGGTGCTGGGGGGGCTGCTGAGGGCCGCGGGCCGCCAGGGAACGTGAGCGAGGGCGACCAGCTAGGCTGACCTGCGCCCAGCTTACAGAGACTGGGGGATGGCGCCAGCGGCACACTCGTACCCGACCAACCCGCCAGCCTGCCGCCGCGCCCGGCTGCTGTACGCGCCTGGTTGCACCCACCTGGCGGGCTGCGCCGGCCGCTGAAGCATCGCGTCTGCATCACAGGCGTTCTCAGGGAACACGCTGCCACAACGCCACCCTCAAACCACCAACCGCCGCCCTGCACTGCTCTGCGCCGCGACCACTTCCCCCCCCTCCAAACCTCCCAAGGGGAGCTCTGCTGTACCTCACGTCGTACTGGGGGGTGGGCCTGCCCCTGGGCATCACCCTCGGCTTCTGGCTGGACTGGGGGGCACTCGGCCTGTGGATGGGGGTCGCCTCGGCCACTGCGCTCCAGGCCGTCTTTGTGCACACGTGGGCGGCGCTGCGCCTGGACTGGGGCCGCGAGGTGCTGCGGTCTCAGGCCAACATCGACCAGATGCTGGACTCACACGGCGGCGCCGCGGCGCAGCCGCTCGCAGCGGGAGGGGAGGAGGCCGAAGAGCGCGGCGGCGGCGTGACGCAGCCGCTGCTGGGCGGGCGTGCTTAAAAACAAAGGATGTTTGCATATTGACCAGTTGCTGACGCCGCTCGGCTCCTTGACCACCTTGAAAGAACTGTGTTAATGTGTCAGAAACTCAGCACACCCTGCTGCACCCATGGCAGTGTCGTTTCGAACAACATCTTGCAGCGTCTTTGTGGGCCAACCCACAGGCTCAATTCACAGCACTTCAGCGTGATGCTTCGAATTTCGCCACTGTAAATGATGTGGACAGGTGTTGGCCTCCATGATATCACTGCTGGCTGAGGTTTTGGGTGTCATCCTGTCATCCTGCCGCTCATCATGTCTCCTGCCGTCATCAATGCCCAGCAAGCAGCTGCCGACGCAACTGCTGGGGGAAGGGGGGAGAGGGTGCGAATGTCTGGCCTGCTGCAGTGGTGACCACCCACACCCGCAATCAGCCGTGACTATTCTCTGATACTTTTTGCTGGCAACCCGACATGCTGCCGCCTGCATGTTATGCGCTGTGCGAGCACGGGACAGCCACCATGCTGATTGACACCTGTCGCTGGTAGTCATGGTTCAACATTGCAGGTGCTTCCCATGTTTGATCACATGACTGCTCCATGTCGCGTACATCAGTGTCATACATCTTCAGTTGTTGGGCGCAAAGATATGACTAAGATCGCAGCTGATCTCGATCACGCACCGTCAGGCTTTCACGGTCATACAGCATGACACAGCCCGTGTTCGAGCTGCTGACTGCGGGAAACTTACAGGCTCTCCGAACCCTGAACAGCGTGCTCTTCCCCGTCAAGTTTCATGTGCGCCGCGGCGGATGAAATGCATGCTGCTGTACCAGGCAAGCGGGAATGCCATTCAGCACATGCCGGGTCCGCGGGGTTGAGATGGCCACCACCATTCGCCTTCAGGACCAAGTGTACAAGGATGCACTCATGTGTGGGGACGTGACGCAGCTAGGTGAGGGCAAGTAAACCGCCAAAAGCTGCACTGTGTTGATAGCGGCCGAGCTGCGATCATCAGTTGACCAGGATTGAGCCCGCAGCCGCGCTTTGCATGAACAGCAGCAACGCATGCATATGTGCGTGATGCCGCCACACACGCCTGTGTCTGCACCTTGTCCCCTACCGCAGCGTACGTCGACGGAACCCTTGTGGGGGCCATCATGTGCCGCCTGGAGGCCCAGGTGGGGGTCAGAGCCATGCAGCGCGACACCATAGGGGTGCTCACATAAACAGCAGCGGGTGTGACGAGGTGGTGGTGAAGCAGGCGTGCCAGCTGGTGCGCAGGTGCCCGAGTGCTCTGATTGCAGGGTGACGCCCTTGGCGTGAAAGCCGATGCGCTGACGCTGCCCCTACCGACTGGGGCGTTGCCCTCAGGTCAGCCCCCCCTGGTGCTCATGCCTGCTGCCTCTTGAGCCGAGCAACGAACACACCATACACTCAACAAGGTCTTCCCCTTCCCCTCCCCCCCCCCAACACCCCGCCACATTGCAATCCCCAGCAAGGCGGCGGTGCACGGCTGTACATTGTGTCGTTGGGTGTGCTGGCCCCATACCGCTGCATGGGCATAGGTAAGTGCGCCACAGGGGGAGGCACACGGCCCGCGACAAGGCGGGGAGAGGGTCGTGATTGAGCTAGGGGTTCCAGTGCCCCCGCATACTGCCATGCGCACCGCCCTGCCCTCAGCGGCCGCTGCCGTCAAACAGGCAGCCACAGCATTCGCAGCAGCCACGTCCTACGTGTTGCATCAAATCTCCAAACCCCCAACTCGGGGATGCCCCGGCACACCGCCCCAGGGTCGCAGCTGCTGGCGCGCTCCCTTGCGGCCTGCGGGGGCGACCCCGAGATCACCAGCGCTCAGCTGCACGTGCACTGCGGCGACGAGGAGGCCCAGGCCTGGTATGCCGGCAGGGGCTTCCATGTGCAGGTGCGGCCAGGGGCCCGGGGCTGGAGGGGCCAGGTTTTGGGGCGGGCGGGAGGGTGCGGTGCGGTGGTGGTGCTGGGCGTCTTTGCAGGGGTGAGTGGGTGGACCAAAACGCGCGAGGCGTACAAACACGCGCGCATTATGCCCCAGCAGCCCGCTCTCCTTGCTCTTGTGAGCGCCAAACACGTATAAGCGAGCTGGGCACGCCCTCCCTGCCCCCCGGGTACGCCCTCCATGGACCCTGCGGCCTTCCACCATACCCCAAGTGCGCGCTGCGCAGCGAATGCACCCTCAACCCTCTCCTCAGACCTGCGCTCACTGGCCCTGCCGACCGGCAGGAGCGGATACCCGGCTACTACAAGCGCCTGAAGCCGCCAGACGCCCTGCTGCTGTCCAGAGCGCTGCCGAGCGGCACGCACGAGGAGCAGCCGGCGGTGGCTGCGGCACCAGCGGGCGGAGGCGGCACGCCTCCAGGCAGCTAATGACCATGGTCCCAACTCAAACAGTCTGCGCGAGTGTACTTGCCTTGTTACCAAAGGTGTCAGTCTGCCTGAGAGCAACAACACGCAGCCTAAAACCTGTGCGCGCGAGAATGGAGGCCACCTAATCAGCAGCCGATTGTCCAGCCCGCGCCGCGCTGAGTGCCTATCCGCTCGCTACCAGCCGGTATGCGACGCCGCCGCCCCCCGCGCGCTGCAGCTGCGTGCGCCCCAGCTTGCTGAGGCAATTGAGGATGGCGCGGCCCTTGGCCGCGTCAAAGCCCAGCGCCTCCAGTGTCTCCAGCCCCACGCAGCCGGGCGGCGCGCCCTCGGGCGCCGTGGGGCGCCTGCAGACACGGAGGGTGGGGGGTATGGTCGCGGGCGCGGCAACCGAGCCGCAGCCAGCTCGACAGGCATCAAGCAACCACGCAGATTGGCGTCCGTGCGAGAGTGGCTGGAGCGGGCCTTTGCCTGCTGCGGCCTATTGCCCAGAAACACAGCGGCATGGCAGCATCGCGCTTGTGGCTTCTCTGTTGACCCCCAGCCACCCACCCGTCCGCGACGGCGGCGCCCATGCCCTCCAGTGCGCGGTTCAGCTCCTCCAGGCACAGCTGGCGGTTGCACCACGCCGGCAGCGACGAGAACTCGGCCCGCCCCACCGGCGCTGCCGCGGCCGCGGCCTCGCGCTGCGCCTGCAGCTGGCGCCGCAGCGCGGCGCGCGTCGTCGGCGTCGCGGGCGCCTCCTGCGGCTGCTGCTGCTGCTGCTGCTCCTTCTGTTGCTGCCGGGCCGGCGACACCCCGAGCTTCCTGGCCCCGAAGTCCTGGTCCTTCCCGGGCGACAACGCCTCCTCCCACTGCTGCGACAATGCCGCGCCCCCTGGGCTGCCGCGGCTGCGCCGCCGCCCCGCCGCGTCGTCGCCGCCCGAGCGCGTCTCCCACGCGCCCGCCGCCCCCGCGCCGCCCCACCCCCGCTCGTCGCCGCCGCTGCTCGCGAGCGCCTCCGCGGCCGCCGCCTCCAGCCTCTCCCCGAGAGTCACATCCTCCTCCTCACACGCCTCGCCCTCGCTTTCGCCCTCGTCGCCGGCGCCCCCGCGCGAGAGGCCGCCGCCCTCTGCGGCCGCAGCGGCCAGGCGGCCGCGCGACGGGCTGCGCCTCATCTGGCTGAGTGTGAGTGAGAGGGAGTCCAGCTCCTGGAGCGCGTTCTGGTGCCAGCCCGCAGGCAGCGTGCTGCCGGGGGTGGCTGCACAGCGGGGGAGGGCGGCGGCGGCGCACGCGGTTCCGGGAAGGCTCACAGGATGCATGCGGAAGCAATGCAATCAGCCGCAGGCGCAGCCAAGCTTCCAGCCCTAAGGACCGCTCCATCCATAACCCGCAGGTCTCCCCCGATCGAATGCTGCCAGCCAGCCAGGCTCTCACTTGGCCTGGCCAGCCCTTGGCCACCGCCGCCGCCGCGCTTCTCCCCTGGGCCCGCCGCGCGGACGCCCGGCGGCGTCTGCGTGAGGCCCTCCGCTAGCGGCAGGCCCATGTTGCTGCGGATGAGAAGGTCGTAAAGGTCACCTGTGGTGGCGGAATCTGGAAGGGGACCAGGGGTTGACCAGGGGTTGACCGGGATTTGACCAGGGGATGTGGCTGGTAAAGGACTTGAGGAGCGTTTTGGTGGGCGAGCCCCATCGCGTGTGGGCCACGCGGCTGGAATGCCATGACAGACGAGTGAATGCAAAGTGTTCTGGGGAGGACGCGTCCACATGAGCAAGCCTAGATGCTGCGTACGGCTGAGCTGGCTGCCGGCTCTCGGCGCAGCTGCGGCCGATGAAGTTTTGCAGCCAGCCGCCTATAGCGAACCACATGGGCTTGCAACTCCCAGCCACCCACCAGGCAAGGGGCTGGCGCCCGCACAGCCACCGTTCCCGCCGCTGCCGCCGCTGCCGAGTGGCCCTGCGCGCCGCTCGACGTCTCCACCGCCGCCGGCCCTGCCAGCCGGGGGCACTGACAGCGCCTCCGCCTCCGGCATGTCTGACACGGTTGAGGCCGGCAGGCTGGTGCTGCGGGGCGTCTTGCCGAAGATGGGGAGGTTTGGGGAGTCGCTGCTGCAGCGGCCGTAGTCCATCCGCAGGTCGCGGCAGGTAGAGCGCCGCGGCGCTGACAGGCTGATGGACGGCACGGCGCTGCCACCTGCAAGGCGCGATCCCAATGATCACGGGTTGTACTCATGTTGGTCAGGGGTAACGCAGGAAACCCAGGGCTTGCATAGCGCCGAAAAGCACAATTTGTGCTGCCGTTGAATATTTTCGGCTGCGCGTGCACAAGCCCAGCCCAGCCTGCCGCGCACCCGACGCCATCGACGGCGCGCCTTGCGCGCTGGGCACGCCGCCGACGCTGGGGACCCCCGAAGAGGGGCAGGCGTACTTGTCCGCCAGGCCGGGGCTCAGCATGGAGAGGCCCTCGGGCGTGAGAGACGAAGAGCTGGCAGCACCCATCGAGACGCGCGGCTGCGCAGCAGCCTTGGACGCGGTGGTACCGCCAGCAGGGCCGCCTGGGGTTGTTCATTTCAGGGGGGAAAGTGCTGACGAGGCAAGGGGATCTCCACCTGCAACAGGAGCGCCACCTGCACTGGCTATGTAAGGGCGCATGCCGCCCAGAGGGGAGCTAGCAGCAACCAGCGCCACCACGCCGTTCCTCGGCTGCTGACCTGTAGCAGGCCCACCCAGCGCAAAAGCAGCAGCCGCTGCGGCGGCCGCCGCCGCTCCAGTGCCGTGTGCTGGGCTGCCGGGCTGCCCGATCCCCAGCCTGCTTGGCACATAGCCGGACGCCAGCAGGCCTGCAGACACCTGCATTTGAGAGTCGTAATTAGAGGTGTTGGGGCGTGCATATGACTACACCGCCAACCCATGCACACGCTCCTGCAGCCAAGCTGCCGCCTTTGGAGCACGCGCATGGCCTCACCGGCGAAGATGGCAGGGAACGGTACGGCTGCGGCGCGTGCGCATGCGCCCTGCGGCCCCCTGGTGAGCTCGCTGTGCTGATGTCGCCATGCCGGTGATGCTGCGGCTGCGTTTCCTGCTGCTGCCCGTTGCGTTGCTTCTGTCCAGCTGCACGCGGGCTGTCCAGCAACATGGCTTCGGCGTCCAGGTCTTTGCAGCCAAGTCCAGGTTGGTGGAAGCAACAGGGGGCCGGCGGCAGGGTCACAGTGCTGCGATCGCTTCTATGAGCTCGCTACCACGCGGGTGGGCTGCAGCACAATAACAATCATTATAAAAAATGATCCTGACATGCCCGTCATAGCATCTCCATGCTCGTTTCCACACTAAAACCGCTGCTTCCCTCACCGTCTGCAAAGCACAGCTCATCTGCGCCATACGCACTGGCAGCTGCCAACGCCGTGCTGCAGGGGTCGTCCGGCTCCCGCCGCGCGCTCACGGGCTGCTGGTAGCCGTACCGCTCCAGGTGCGCCACCAGTGCAGTCATCCCATCGCGATTGCTGTGGTACAGCTCAACGCAGTGGCCCAGCAGCTCCTGGCGTCCCGGGGTGCACCGCACATGCGTAGCATCAGGGGTCGGCGGTGGTGCTACTAATACAGTACTCGCAACGTATTTGTGAGCGCGCGGATACAGTCCGCTCACTACATCCTGTTGGCATGTGAGCAACATCTGGGCTCCTCATATCGTAGCTAAGGCATCGCACCTCAAACGAGACGGCGTCGGTGGTGCATCGCTCCAGCTGTTGCACCTCCGCAGCAATGTCCGCCGCCTGCTGCTCCAGATCGTCCAGGTTTTCTCGAAAGGCATCGACTGCAGAGATTCAACAGATGATTCGGTTTCGCTGCAATTGCATACGGCCCTGCAGGTTGAAGCCTCGGTGTGAAGCGCTCACCTCCAGCGTGTGGCCTCGACTCGGCACCCCGCTTGAGGCTCGTCACGCCGTCGGAAACACGCGCTGTGAGACCCCGCAGGTCAGCGGAGAAGCGCTCCAGCGCGCGCGAGAGCGCACTGGAGGCCATTTTGCAGGGTGTTGTGTCAGCAGATCGGTTCGGGGTCGCGTCCTAGTAAAGCGCGATGGAATAATTGATTGCGATATATTTGTTTCACAAAGGGTGTGAGGTCCTCCAAACGAGCACGCCAATTTGAATTTCGTGGAAGCCTCCACACCAGCTGCTCCACATTGGTTTCAGCCCCGATGGGCCCTGTACTCGCTCTACGTCCATGCATACTGACGAGACATGGTAACTTATTGTGGTACATATGAAAATTGAAAGCCTCACATAATCGCATCGGCTGGACCCCTCCGCAGCTCCGGGCGGCGTGGAACAAACGAACGCGCACTGTGGATTTGGGGCCTCTCTCAGGACAATAAATCAATCAATATTGCTAGTAAGGCAACCGGGCACAACCTGCAGTGGCAGGATGTCCCCGTCAGCGCAGGGCGCCACAGCAGCGCTTGTGCTGCTGATGCTGGCCGCCGCCTCAGGTAAGCCAGCGGGACGGGCAAGATTGTTGTGATGGCGTAAAATCAATGCATGGCTTCGATGGTGCTGGAGTGGTGTCATCAATCGTGGGGTTGGCCAGGCGGCGCGTGTGGGATGCTTCGAGCTGTGCTGCACGGCCCCCAATCTGAGGGCCCGCTTTGCCCCGCAGGAGCTCATGCATACACCCGTGACCTCCGCACATGCACGGGCAGTGTCCCCTGCACCGACGGCTGCGCTGCCGCCTGCGGCGTAGATGGCGGCTGCGCAAACGGGTTGTGCTCGCCATTCGCCAACAAATGCGGCGCCAAGTACTGTGGGCTGGCAGAGTTTTGCGGCGCGAATGTGGAGTGCCACCCGGAGCGATGCGACGTCCGGCGCGCGCACTGCCCCGCGGCTCTGGGCAAGGCCGCGGCAGTAAAATGTCCTGCGGGTTCGCAGTACACGGCCTGCGAGGCGACTCCAGACGGCAAGTTTGCGTGCAGGCATGGCAACGGCCTCTTGGAGACTCTTTGCAATGGCGTGAAGTCCCTTGGTTTTGAGATGCCCAGGGACGGCCTCAGCTCGCGCCACCGGCAGGCACACGCAACAGGGCCAGAAGAGCAGCAAACAGAGCAACAGCTGTTGGCACACCAGCAACTAGAGCAGCAGCAGCAAGAGCAGCAGGAGCAGCAGCAGCAGCAGCAGCAGCAGCAGCAGCAGCAGCAGCAGCAGCAGCAGGAGGCGCCCGCACAGCAGCAGCCTCATCCACAGATGCAGCAGCCACAGCAACAGCAGCAAGCAGACCAGGAGTCGCAGCCGGCAGCAACAGTAGCCGCTGCAACCCGCCGTCGCGGCCTGCTGCAGCAGTTTTACAACTCCAACCGGCCACGACAGCTGAGCATGCCAGCGAACTCGGCCCTCTCCAATCAGGGGACCGGCGGCGGCAACGGCGGGTTTGGTGCCACGCTGATGCGCTCCGGCATCATGTCCACCCTGCTGGGCGGCCTCGGCAACATGGTCGGCCTCAACTCGAATGATTTCAGCGCAGACAGCAACCTGGCGTACCAGCAGGTCGCCTCCGCCTACAGCCTCGGCGCCATGACCGGCGCACAGGCGTTGGGCGACGGCCGCGACACGTTTGACGGCTTCCCGGCCGACCCAAGCGGCGCCGGCGGGCTGGGCGTGCCGGGTCAACCCAACGCGGTGTTTCAGGGCGGCGCGGCGGCTGGTGGCAACTACAACCCCTACTTTGACACCTATGGGCCCGGAACCAGCGCCCCAACCACCCAGCGGCCCGCCGCCTTCTCCAACACCGACGGCTACCCCGGCTCGAGCAACGCGATGGGCGGCGTGGCCCTCGTCGCCATCGACCGCACCTACTGGCCGGATGCGCCCGCCAACATCACCTACCCCTGCCCCACCGGCTATGGCGAGGGCATGCAGATCGCGCCAGGCATCCCCTGCGGCATCGCGCTCACCGCGGTGCCGGCCAACATGCTGCCCACCATTGGCTGCACGGGCGTCGCCAACACGCAAGCGCCGCCCGGCGGCCTGCCCTGCGGACCGGCTGTCGTGGCAAAGATTCCCATCACAGGCGGCGCCGGCACCGGTGGCACGGCGTCGCCCTCCGGGCCGCTCATCGGTCCCGCCACAGGCGCCGCGCCTGGCGGCGGCGCAGGCACGCCACCGCCGATCGCGGCGGTGCCACCGCCGATCCTCCCCATCACAGGCTCGCCCGCGCCGGTGGCGGCGCCCCCGATCCTGCCGCCCGCGCCCGCGCCGTCGCCGGCGCCGGCGAGGCCGCAGTGGGTGTGGGTGAACAACGAGTGGGTGTGGGCCGGCACTGAGGAGAGCGGCAGGCAGGTGCCCGAGAGCGGCTCATACCAGCAGGTGGGCGCTGTTGCCATAGTGGCAGGTCAATGCAGCAGGATGGTCGCTTGGCTCAAGGGCAGTACTTGGGGGCAAATTGAAGCTTCATGTCTCAAGCGGGTTAGCGTGACTAGAAACCAAATCAGCAGAGGCGGCAAACTCATCTCACACTCAGCTTTTCCTGACCGCACCCACCCCCGATCCCCCGCCCCACAATCGGCATTGCCCTCTGAACACCTAATTGCGCAGCCGAAGCCTCCAATGTCACTGCCAGCACCACAGCCCACCTCGAGCACCAGGACCCCAAATCAGGCGCCGCCTACAACCGCGGCAGCTGCAGCGTTGCCAAAGTGTGCCCCTGGGTACATCTACAGCCAAAAGCTCAGGCGCTGCGCCTCTTGCGTGGCTGGCACGTTCGCGGACGCAAAGAAACACCTGTGCGTCAGCTGCGGCCCAGGCTACCACTCCCCGGCCGCCGCCGCCACGTCCTGCAAGCCATGCGCTGCGGGGACGTTTTCGCAGTTCCGGGGCTCAACGCAGTGCACGCGCTGCGCGGCGGGCAAGATGAGCGCCAAGGCGGCATCAGGCTGTGTTCCCACGGCCAAGCCAGCGCCCGGGAATGTGTTTGGGGACATTTTTAGCCGTTAAAGGTCCGTCCGGATATGCCTCAGGGCTGTGTGCACGTTGAGGCGGCCTGCGCTTGCGCCAGCCAACGCACGCACAGCGCTAATGTAGATGTGACGCCAGCGTTGAGGGGCCTGCAAGAGCTCACGCCCATTGATATTGATGATGAGCCTCACGCCGCCATCGGGTGCGTGACCAGGCCGCTCTTAGAATGTGCAATGACCATGCGCGCTGCAACAATGCGCGTGGGCTAGAATGCTGCGCCGCCTCTGTGGCGTCGAGTTCACCAGCCGCTGAAAGCGGCCCTGTTTGATTTGATGTTTTGCTTGCTAGGCCCCTAGGCTTGCTTGCTTGTGCCTAATCTCTTGTTGATACCTGGCGCAACGCATATGTGTGCGCCTTTGCGCCGCATATGGAATGAACAAGTGCTGCCAATCAAAAGTTAGTAGCCAGGACATGTCTCCGGGCCCTGCCTGAATGGGACAAGAGCTGATACAAATGTGCGTAACACAAACAAAGACACCATCTTAACCTTTGACGGACACGAAGGAAAGGAAGTCGGCGGTCGTTGGAAATGAAGTGCCTTGGCGAGCCTATGGCCCTGTGTCGCTGTTGTTGCAACCTCTGTTGACATGCGACACCCTTGGCTGCAGCTGTGCTCACAGAATAAGTGCACTTCAGGCGTGTGTTAGGGGCGCGATTGGCGTCCTGGTCCCTTCACCATTTTGCAGCGCTTGACCTTGTGCAACAATCAAATTTTGAGTCCAGCCCGCCCCAGTCCATCCAGTCACACCGCTTCAAAATCCTGCAGTCCGCAGGCCTAGTCAACAGCCACGTTTCAGTGCGCCGCAGCACCGACGGCGCCGGCGTCCACCACCTTTGCAAGCGGCGCACGCACCAGCGCTGAGGCGGGCACGACGCCGCTCCTGATCAGCTCGTCGCACCCTTCGTCCGCCGCCTCGAGCGCGGCCACCACCGCGGGGATGAAGTCGTCGCGGAAGCTGTCGGGCCGCTCCAATATCACACTGCTCGACGCCTTGGCCAGGCCGATCAGCCACGCCGGCGGCGCAAGCACCCCGTCCCCGCCCTTGGCCGGCCCCCCAACCGCCTCGCCGTCGGCAGCCGCGTCCGCCCCGGGCGGCGGCCGCGCGGCGGCCACGAGCGCCGTGTTGTAGGCCCACTCCTCCTGCGGCATGAAGGAGGCCATGCAGTGCGCGTAGCGCCGCGGGATGCCCGCCGCGTCGAGGGCCAGCAGGTCGGCCTCCGCCGCCCGCAGCAGCTCGTCCGCCGGCGGCAGCGGCGCTGCGGCGCCTGACAGCGCGCGCGCGAGCAGCTGGCCCTGCAGCTGGAACTGCTGCGGGCGTATGGCACGCCACGAGAGGCCGATGAGGGCGAGGCTGGGGGCGGCTGTTGGCGGGAACATGTGGAGGTACAGCGGGCGCACGTGATGGTCGCCTTTGGGGGGGGGGTGGAGGGGGTGCTAGTATTGGTAATGGTGTGTGTGTGTTTGTGTTTGTGTTTGTGTGTGTGCGTGTGTGTGCGTGTGTGTGCGTGTATATGTGCGTGTGCGCGTGCGCGCTCGTGGTTGTGTGCGTTTTGCTTTGGGGGACTGGTGGGTGAGTGGATACGAGGGAGAGAGTGGTGGGAGGGATGAGCTTTTGATGGGTGCAACACGGAGGGGCCAGGCGGCACGCCACCCAGCCGCGCAGCACCGGGCTGCCCGCTCAAGCGCCACAGGCAGATGAGGGGCCCGGCACCCCAAATCGACTTCTGCTTACAGTCCAGCAACTTCCAGCCAGGTGCCACACGTAAGAAAGTCGCAACATCACGTGTTTTTGCGTCCACCATCCCGTTTCAGCAACCCGGCCCTACAGCCAGCCCAGCCGGGCTGGGCTGGCCCGATGACTCACTGGTGTCCACCAGGCCCAGGTGCTCCATGAAAGGGAAGCTGTACTTGTAGCCGGTGCACCACACAACGCCGTCGATGCCCTCCAGCACCCGCCCGTCCGCGAGCACAATCGAGCCGTCCGCGCGCAGCTCGGTGGCGATTGGGACGCGCGTTATGTTGGCGCGCCCCTCAAACGGAGCGTCGGGCGCGCCGCCGGCGCCGCGGGCGCTGCGGCCGGCGGGGGGGCCGTTGGAGGGCCAGGAGCGGGCGGAGTGGAAGACGTGGTCCGCGTGGTCCGCCACGTGGCGGGCAATCTCCTCGCCTGGTTGGCGCGCGGGTGTGCGCGAATCGTGTGTGTGGGGGGGGGGGCTGGCGAGGCAGGAAGAGGGAGTTTGAACTGTGCGTAAACAAGATCTTCACCTGAAAAGGGTATTACGAGCTTTGTGTTTGCGATCTAAGAGCGCCGCGTTAGAGCTGAGCTGGCCGCGTGTGATTGCACGTACCACGATGGATGACAGCTCCCTCTCCCGACTTGGTGCCCTGCCCACCTGAGAAGGACGCGCCCACCACCATCACCCGCTGCCCCTTGAAGCGCTGCCCCCCTCTGAAGCTGTGCACGTGCAGCTGCGGCCCGGGCCACTCCCTCAGGCCGGGGATCTGCGCGGGGCGCACGTCGGGGCAGGGGTGCGCGCTGCGTCACGCCGGGCGCGGTAACTGTTTGGGGCAGCACAGGCGCCGGTGGCGAGCAGGGTCCGGTCCACCCTGCACTGGTGGGTCAATGCACCCAGACGGGGAGACAGGCAGACAGGCAGACATGCATGCATGCAAGATGAGCCCCAGGGGACTGTTCTATGTTGCCCCGAAACCCGCCCCGTCCCCCAATTGCTTCCCGCCACCTCAGCGCACCTCAGGCAGGATCGGGTCCGAGTGGTGGCCCACGCACACCGCCACCGAATCAAACTCCCGCACCACCTCCCCCTCCGCCCCCTCGCCGCCGCCCGCAGAGCGCGTCAGCACTCGCCAGCGCTGGCCCCACGGCGGCCGCTCCGCGCCGCCTGCGCCCGGCCCCTCGCCGGCCCCGGCGCCGTCGGATTGGTCGTCCCCTGTGTCCAGCGGCAGCGGGTCGATGCGCGCCACCTCAGTGTTGAGCTCCACCAGGCGCCGCAGGTCGTGGGCGTCAGCATACGCCTCGACGTACGCCAACACCTGCACGCGTGTGGCGAGCCGGCCGCGGCGTGTTGGCATCATGGCGCTTGGGTGCGAGGAGTCGCAGTGGGGAGTGGAGTTTGCCGGTGCGATCGTGCGTGCGCAGGGGGGGGGGGCGCGGGACGGCGCGGTGCAGAGCGGTCTAGCCAGCCACGCGCCTGAGAGCGCTCGGCATTGACACCTGGGGGCCTCGGCCGTCCTGACGGGCAGCCGCCCTGCAGCAGCTGACGGCGCGCTGGCGTCAGCCAACCGGTCGGCCTGGCTGCGCGCGGCCTGCTGCCCGTCCGTGCGCACCTCGGAGTGCAGCGGGTAGATGCGGGGGTCGTGCGACGCGCCGCCCATGGCCTCCGGGACAAAGGGGAAGTCGAGGTATGACATGAGCTGGCGCGGCAGGTTGGTGCGCAGGCCAGGGTACCTGAGATCGGATGCGCCGTTGAGAGGCGTGCAACATAGGGGAAGGGTCAAGATTTCAGGGCTTGGGGCCGACCCTGTTACCGAGACCCCATGCGAGCACTTCTGCATGCGTGAACTCGTCCCTAGATCGGGTGGCCGCTGCACCCCCCAAAGATCTCGACATCTGAACGGCGCGTGCGCCGACGCTTGAGGTGTGTTGGTGCATCGCCGCGCTCTTGGGATCCAGGGCATGCGGGCATGCACGTGCTTGCACAAGTGTACGCACGCGCTCGTGTGTGCGCGCGCGCTCACATGCTGCTGTGCACGCGCCCCTTGGACCTGTCCAGCCCCAGAGGGTCTCCCTCCAGCTGCGGCGACACCACCCACGTGCCCCCGATGCCTGGGCCGGCCTCGATCACAGTCACAGAGTGGCCCTCCTTCAACAGCTCCCGCGCCACCACCAGGCCCGCCTGGCCGGCGCCGACGACGGCCACCGAGGCGCGGAAGCGCCGGCCACGCCGCGGCGGCGACGCGGCGTGCGCCTGGCGCGCATGCGGCGCGACGGCATCGAGGTGCTGCGGCACCGTCATGACGGGGAGGTGCGCTGTCTCACACGGTTGGTGCGAGCCTGTTGCCGCAAGCCGTGCTGCGCCTCGGCGTGCTGCGCTGTGTCCGCTGTGCCCGCCGCTGCTTTGTTGTGAGGACGCCAACGAGGCGCTGCTCGGCGGCGGCGCCTGAGGCGATTCTGCGTGCAATTTATGGAAAATCCCGTGTCAAAGCACTTGATGTGCCCTTTGCCAGGAGGCGCGCGCCTCAACCACTTCTGGGGTGATGGCACACATGCGGCGCACGCATGACGGCGCCGCCCACTCTTAGCGGTGAAGCGGCATCACGGCGGGTGTGTGACTCGGGTCACAGGCTAACACGAGCTGCACGCTGTGGCAGATCGAGGCAGTTATTGCAGGCAATGTGCCTTGTTTGGTTGCAGGAGCTCGTTCTCACCGCGTTAGCAGGGAAACCACTTTTCTTCCCGCGACTGAAAGGTTCCCTGGACCACGGAAGTGGTGCGAGACGATATGATATTGGTCAATTTGAAGATTCTCGGGGAGGCTGACCCTGCTTTGAGGGCGCAGAGCAATGCCACACTGACACACCTGTGGCCGGTGGGTTCCAGAGCTGACGGTACATTTCGCACAAACTGCAGTATCTGTCAGTGAGTGAAGGTCTATGCATACAAATGCGTTGATGAATATTCTGTGGAGCATGTCGACGGTACACCTTGTGTCTGGCCGCCTGCATGTGCTTGCATCGTCGTCCATGAGGGTGGCCAGGGCACCCAGCTTTTGGCTGGGAGAACCTTAGTGAGCAGTATGTGCATGTCTGCCCTTGCACGCGTGCAAACCACGCTTTTATAACACCTTGATGCTTGTGCCAGCATTGCCAGCACGCCAGCGGCGGTGGAGGGCAGTGAGGCCCTTCCTCCAGACAGCTACCTGAAGATATCGAGCCGCCTGACATACTGCATCCAGGTGCATTGGAACCTTCCGTGCTTACAAGGTGCTGTCACGGCACCCGGCTAAAATCTGAATTGCATGGTGAACTCGTCCTAGCGGCTCCATAGCAACCTCGCTCGATGTTGTCTTGCCCGTTCCCAACAAGCCACATCGGATATGTATATGTCCGCTGCAGCGCTGCATTTGTGGCTGCCAGTGATTGACCTGTCAGCCCCGGTACCGGTGGAACATTTATGGGCGGGGATGCCGGTACTCCGATCGCTTTGAGCCCCATTGCTGCTTGCCACATCTGCCGTGTGCAGTGTCTGCGGTGGATGACCCACCAGGCGCCACACAGATTATCGTTGCTGCATGCATATTACGAATGAAACAAACTGCACTGCAAGGGAGTGGATGGCCTCATAAAGAAATTTGCAGCGGCACCTCGTCACTTACAGTAGTCACCTGTCTGCTCACATCACTCAGCAAGACGCAAGCGTAGCGCTAGTGCGTAGCATCGTAGTTGTACTGTACTTGAATTGACTCAAGTGTGCCGGTAATTGTGGCGATCATCTTGACAAACTTTCTGCCACACCGTGCCAAGCCATCTGCCACAGATCATAACAATCACACCATCGCGTCCGTCTTTGCAGAGCAAGTCCAACCGAATCAGTGCAACGGTATGATCAATTAATTCCCCGATGCGCCGACCAAACGCGGGCCCAAACGGGCTGCATTCGGGAGCGTCGAACCTACAGCGCGGGCAGAGGAGGTCGGTCAGGAGTAGCTCAAGGAGCCAGTTGTTCACGTGGCTGGCGGTTGCCACGATCACATGCGGCTGCGTGGCGCTGCTGGCCATCGATCCGACCTTCGTGACGAAGCCAGCGCAACACTTGACCGCTTGGGGGTCGCCGGCCGCGCTCGCGTTCCCAATCTGGTGGCATGCGCCGGTATTCTCTGTCTCGGGTGCGCGCTGTTATGAGGTGGTGGTGAGATGATGCACGTATGTATGCGGAGGGCAACATACCAACACGGCGTGGCGCCGGTTGGCGGTTGGCACCGGTTGGCAGTGGCTGCTTTGGGCTTTGGGCGCGAGCCGCTGCCAGGTCTTCTTGCGGCTGCAGCACCCCACATCTCATGCGGCCACTTGCACGCCTCAGGCCTGGGCACAGAGGCGATCACTATCCTCGAGGCCCTGGTGTCAACCCGTCTGATCCGGGCGACAGACATGTGAGCGCTTGCCGCGCAGCCCTGCCGCGCCACGCGCCGCGCAGCCGCCGATGGGGCCGAGGGACTTCCTCAGATGCAGCCGCTGCAGGCAGAGGACACTGCGGCACCCACCCGGGCGGCTCTGGGCGACTGCTGTGCCTCGGCTGCGCCCCGTCCGCTGGTTGGACCCCGTTGCGCCCGCTCAGCCGCCGTGACCACCATTGGATTGATGCGACGGCCCCCGCGGCCCGCCCTCTCGCGCCCTCCAGCTGGATTTCTCATTCAGGGGACACGGCAGACCAGAAGGTGGTGGACGCCCTGCCAGACAGCACGCAGAAGCTGCTGGCGGACCGCAAGCACCCCCAGGAGGTGGGGCCCGCACGATACACCCGACCCGCGCGCCAACGCACGCGCTCCGCGGCCGCACGCGCAGCGGAGCGGCATGCGAACGAGCGGGGTGCACGGGTTTGGCTGGACGGGAAAAAGAGCGCGCGGTGGCTCGCCTCACGCGTGTGTACGCATGCACACGTCCCGCCTCAGAGCATCCCCTTTCCCCCCACATGCGTACGCGACCCACTCAACGCCGTAGATGGCTGACGAGTGGCTCGACCAGCTGATGGACGAAGGCATAGACGTGGCAGCCGTACAGGCGGAGAAGGACAAGGTCGCAGATATGCGCGACAGGCGGCCCGCCATAGCGGTCTGCCACATGTGGTGGGCAGCGCGACGCGCATCCGGCCCGTCGGCTGCTGGGCCGGGTGGGGGGCAGAGCCTTGCGGCAGCTGTGCACCGAGGGGCCACGGGATTGCCTCACAGCCAGGCGGGATGGCTGGGGATGCTGAGCAGTAGATTGTGGCCAGGCGTCGAGCCGAGATGCGGCGCGAATGGCGTGCGTCGCAGCCTGGGTGGTGTCTCAAGTGCAGCCCGGCGCCGTGAGCCCGTTGTGGCTCTTGCGGGAGGGTGCGGCGCGGCAGCTGGCCAGTCATGATATCCAGGATGCGGCCGGCAGGGCGGGGCCGCTGGGCAGGCCGGCCTGGTGGCGCAGAGGATAAGGTGCGGCTCCGCGCTGGCAGTCGCCCATATTTATGACGTCTGTCTGTGCCTGCGTCGCCAACGCCGGCCCCAGGTTTGACTGCTGGCGGCGGCCGACTGAGGAGCCCTCCAACATGCCGGGCTGCCCCTGCCCCTTGAGCGCCAAGCGGGTGGGCGGCCCCTCCCCTCGGGGAACCCACTGCTTACGAATCCCCGCGCTGCTGCCATGCGCACGCCCACACACCCCGCCACCAGTGTCATGCTCGTTCTTGTGAACCCCACCTGCCTGCCCGTATTTGCCCCCTCCCCCCTACACACACGCACACGCACGCTCACGCACATGCACACGCACGTGCGCGGCACACACACACACACACACACACACACACACACACACACACACAAACTCACATACACACAATCACACACACATGGTCCCCACGTCAGTCCGTGTACACCGTCGCCCGCACCATGTTTGAGACGGCCAGCCTGCCGGAGCACCTGGCAGCGCACGTTGCCGCGATGGACGAGGTCTGGGTGAGTCAGCCCTGGGCTATGGGGTGCTCTCGGGGCCGACTTGGGGCTGGCTGGCCGCAATCAGGCGCCGCTGCCTGCGGGGACGAGTCCGTCGGACCCTGGCGCCATTGAGACGTTGGGTTTTGTAGGAGATGCCTCTCTTCAAGAGCCGGCGGGTGTAACAAACAATCTCAGGGCTTGCTGTGCTCTAGGCGTCACCAAATTGATACAACTCCCCACACAGGGTCAAAACCCTGTGCCTGCCGCGGTGTATCAGAGCAACCACGTCGCCCGCATCGCGTCCTTGGAAAACATTCCACACACGGCCCCGCTTGCACCCCGCCTCCGGCCCCGCCAGGTTCCCACTGAGTTCAACCGGGAGAGCTTCGCGTCTGCGGGCGTTGACAAGAGCAAGATATTCCTCGTGCCAGAGGTGGGGCGGATGGCGCAGCGGGGCCAGGGGCTGGGCGTGGCGCGGGATGCGGTTCCAGGCACGGCTTGGGGCTGGGTGCTGCCATGGAGGCCCGGCTGACGGCGGGGGTGGCCGTCGAGCAGCAGGGTTACGGCCAGCCGTAGGCGCAGGTTGGGCAGCCGACAGCTTTTTTGCTTATTTCCATACAGCGTCAGGACCTCGCGACGCTGCCCCGCCTGTCGTCCAAGGCCGCGTGAATCACCCCTCAACCCCTCCCCCCAGGCCATTGACACTGATGTGTGGTCCCCTGAAGCCGCCGAGCCCATTGACCTGCGAGAGCTGGGGGTGGAGCAGGTG